AAAAAAAAAAAAAAAAAAAAAAAAAAAAAAAAAAAAAAAAAAAAACTTGTATAATTAAAAGTATATTGAGAAATTCAAGAATAAATTAAAAATAAAAACATTTAAAATATTTTTTATATAAAAAAAATATTTATCTTTTTAAGATATAGAAATTCTTAAACTCGTAATGTCCCTAAATTAAATTTTTATTTAATAGATTCTTTAAATTTTGAATATTTTTATTTTTATTTAATAGATACAACTTTTAATATTAAAAAATACGTTTTTATATCTAACAGTATTTTAAAACTTTTGTACATAATGGAGATGTAAATTTTAAAAAATATTTAAAAAATAGAATTTAATTAGACATAAAATAGAAGAATAATGAGAGAACATTTCTTCAAATTTCAAATAATGGACCTATTACACCATTTTTTATTATTATTTCAAAAACCCAATATATACAAAAAGTTGAGGGAGTAAGATGGTAATTTATCCAAGTTATTACTAATGTAAATATCTCCAAAGTAATTTTTTTTTTTTTTTTTTTTTTTTTAATCTTTCATTTGTTACTGTTCTCGAACTACGAAACTGGGAGCATTTACCAAGAGCCCCGCCGTAGGGGAGGTTACCGGTGAGTACTGCGGCGAACTTTGCACAATCGCCGACGGCGACTGTTCCGACACCCTCCACATCTTCACCGACTTATCCAAACTGCCACTGTACACAATCCACCTCCGTTGTTCTCCTTCCCCAGCTTCATTATCCCTTTCAACCGCCAAACACTTCACCGGTCCGGTGTGCCCCGTCAGCACCGACAAGCACGAATGCTCTGCCACTGTCCTCTGCCACACACATATCCCCATATCGGCGGAGCCACTCAACAACAACCGCCCCGCCGTTGCCAAACACAGAATTGCAAGCTTATGCCCCTTCAAATTGCCGCCATGCGACAACGATTTCTCCCTCTCCCAAAAATTCACCACTCCATCCGACGACCCACAGTACACAAACTTGGCTCCTTCGTTCACTGCCAGAGCCGTCACCGCACATTCCTGCTTCAACAATGTCTGTGAAAAAAAATGCTTCGTCCCTTTCCCCTGCAGCTCTCTTCTCCACACTTTCACGCTGCCATCCGCCGACCCAGTGAACACCAATCCATTCACACTCGAAATCAACGTATTAACAGCATCATCATGAGCTTCAATCGACTCCAAGCATTTCGAATCCGACACCCTCCACACCTTGAATGTTTTGTCCCACGAAGCAGAGTACAAAAACAAACTGTCCTCACTCAAACTCAGAGACGAAATTGCATCGAAATGCTTAATCCAGAGGTTCCTCCGCCGTCTCCCATCCAAGTAATTACTGGGTTTCATCGAACATTTGATGTAATCGCTCAATGTCGGTAAGGTCCCAACTCGTTTGTGGACGCTTGGATCTCGACTGGAGACCTTCCAGACACGGACCTTGCCGTCCTGGTGGCCGGTGAAGATTTTCCCACCGCCAATTACGATGGATTTGACCAAGCCGCTGTTGGATTTGAAACCGGAGAATTCCTTATGGCTTTTCCAGACGCGGATGTTCTTGCTGTCGGAGCCAGTGTAGAGAAGGTCCCCTGAGGCGGCGAGGGAGTAAATGTGGCCTTCTTCGCGGACGAGAGAGCCCATCAGGACATTGGGGAGGAAGGAAGCGTCGTCGGCGGAGGGGGCAGGGGAGGGCGTTAAGTGGGAGGACCATGGGGATTTGGTGTAAGGGGAGGAAGAGGCGGGTTCGAAAAAGGAGGGGTCGGCGTCGGTGTCGGCGTCCATTAAAGAGAAGTTTGTGTCGTCGACGTTGGGAACAGAGTATTTGAGGGTGGGGAGTCGGAGGGAGACGTCGGTGTCGTCAAGGCTGGGTTTTTTAAGCTTATTGAAACGGCGGGTGTGGACGCTGGTGCTGTTCTCTTCGGAGAAAACTCGGCCACCTCTGGAAGAACCTCCGCCGCCTAACATGGTGGGATTTTCATAGAGAATTGGAGGAGAATTGTTCTTAAGGGACAAAATGTGGCAACCAAGAATGTGTGAAGGAAGGGGAGGTTATGGAAGGGTGCGGTTGCATATACCTTCTTCTGTTTTTCTCTCCTCAATTTGCGGCTGCTTACGTCTCCTCCATCACTTGACTCAAATGTCTTTTCCTTCCCACATTCAACTCAGCTTCAAATATGAACCCATTTCTCCAAATTAGCATCCTATAATTGTGCATGCTAACCCATTTTTTGTTACCTAAATATGTCCCTTACTAAAATCATGGGAGATATGTCACATGGAAATTTAATATCTACCTCCCTTGTACAGGGATACGAAGATACTCGCCTTCAAAAGGGTGGAATCTGATATCCCACATCGGTTGTAGAGGGGAACGAAGCATTCCTTGTAAGGCTTTAGAAACCTCTTCTTAACAGGAGTGTTTTAAAACGAACAATATCTTCTAGTAGAAGATTGATAGTTCATATATACTTATAACTATTGAGAAAATTAATATTTCATAAGATGATCATATGCTACTCGATTTTAATCTTGAGTGAGTTATGAACTTCTATTTGCGAGGACTTATCCTTTTATTTGCATGGGTCAGAATGACTTTTGTAGTCGATTCAATATGTCTATCATTTTATGGACTTGACTAAACAGAGAATTGGGAATATAATTTCACGAGATGGAACTCACTTTAGAATATAATTTCCTGACGAAGCCTGCGGTGGATCATTTTAGAATCTTTGGGTGCATCACATATGCACATGTTCCTGACACGAGAAGGAAGAAATTTGAAGACAAGAGTTTAAAATGTGTGTTCCTTGGAGTAAGTGAGACTTCTAAGACATACAAACTCTATGATCCATTGACAAAGAAAGTGGTGGTGAGTTGCAATGTGATCTTTGATGAAAAGAAAACATAGGAATGAGGAGAAAAAGTCACTGTCAATCAGCAGATTCTGATGGATCATGAAGAAGAACGAGTTGAAACCCCAATTCAACTTCACTATGAGCATGGAGAGGTAGATAAGTACAAGGCACGTCTAGTTGCAAAGTGATACAAATAGATATGAAGTTGATTATAAAAAGGTATTTGCACCAGTAGCACGTCAATTTACTATAAGGCTTATAATTTCAATTGCAACATAGAAACCGTGGCATATTCATCAACTTGATGTGAAATCGGCCTTCTTACATGGAAAGCCTCAAAAAGAGGTAGATGTGGAGCAACCATATAGTTTTGTACAAAAAGGTAAAAAGGATAGGGTATATAGGTTGAAGAAAGTTCTATAAGTTTGAAGCAATTCCAAGAGCATGATACAATTGCATTGATTCTTATTTTGAAAAGATGAAATTCATTAAATGTCCATATGAACATACATGAGGTAACATTCTCATTGTTTGCTCGTATGTTGATGATTTAATATTTACAGGCAATAGTGAAGAAATGTTTGAACTTGTTAGGAGGAGCATGTCGAAGGAATTTGAAATGATAGATATTGGTTTGATGAGATTTTTTTTTGGACTAGAAGTTATTCAGTTTGTCGCTGGAAACTTTATCTATCAAAAGAAATATGTTCAAGAACTACTCGAAAGATATAAAATTGATGAGCGCACATTTGAAACTCTATCAGAATTGAGTTTGAAGTTGCATAAGGATATTGAAGGGCGAGAGGTTGATAATAAGTACTTCAAGAAAATTGTGAGAAGTTTGATGTATTTAACCTCAACAAGACCAGACATTGTATATGTTGTTAGCATGATAAGTCGCTACATGGAGTGTCCAACGAAAAAGCATCTCAATGCAGCAAGAAGAATACTTTGATATGTCAGAGAAACTTTTGATTTTGGAGGTATTTTACAAAAAAGGAGGTGATTCGAAGATGATTGTCTATACAGATAGCGATTATGTAAGTGATATAAATGATCGTAAAAATAATACAAGAAGTATTCTCATGATGAGTTCAGGAGCTATTTGTTGGTTTTTAAAGAAGCAACCTAGACACTCTTAACTAGCTACGGAAGCAAATTTTGTGGCAGCATCAACATTCTTATGCCAAGCAATTTGATTAAGAAATATGTTTGAAATTCATAATCATAAACAACTAGGTTTGACTGTTATCTATTATAATAATATGTCAACTATCAAGTTGTCTAAAAATCATGTGTTGCATGGAAGGAGTAAATATTTCGGTTTCATTTCTTGCGTAATTTGTGTAAAGAAGATACTATTGAGCTCAATTTTTGCCAAAGTGATGAACAAATCGCATACCTGTTCACAAAACTCTTGAAACAACCATTGTTCGAGAAGCTAACCATTGTTCGAGAAGCTTAAAAGAAAAATGGGAAATGATAGAATCCAAGATGCTTTAAGAAGTTGAAGTGAAGTCCTAAACTCATTTCTACCTAATTCAACTTAAGAGAGGGTGCTCAAAGGTTACTTGTAGATACATGTACATGTATAAGTACATATGCATGTACATAAAGGTTCATTAGTTGATGACAATTTATTACCTTCATTCTTAGTTACATGTATTAAGTACATACACACATTGCGTTTAATTTGTTGATCAAATATTTCAAGACAATAAAATTTGTTTAAAGTTCGAATCAATTATGTTAAGCATACAACCAAAATTAGATCATATCAAGCGTAAATTATGTTAAGCATACCACCAAAGCCGCATAAAATTGCAAAGAAGGCTGGTGCCAAATCTGGTGACTAAGAAAGGAGCTAAAAAAGAGTTGCTTTGCCCCTCTCCTCTTCTCGTCGAGCTCTTTCGCCCCTTTTCTTTTCTCGTCTTGCTTGCGGAGGAACCCTTAGGTTTTCGGGGGCATTGGATTCTCACCAATGTTTGCGTTACTCAAGCCGACATTCTCGCTTCCGCTGAAGGCCTTTAGCATGTTGAGTCAGGAATCAATCATTTTGACTTTGACTTTTGGGAATGTTCCGGGACAGGTGGTGACACATCTTTGCCCCAAAGCATTACATTCCACTTTGATTTTGACTAAGGAGGGGTTTATTATGAAGTCTAGACGACGCATAGTTTAATGCATGTGGCTGGTTGACCACTGCCCCCGAATTGCAATCTTTCTCTTTTCCCAGAATCATTATGCGTCAAATTTGTCTGTGGGCATCAATCCCAGGAGGAAGAGAATCCCAGGAGGAAGAGAACAAGATAACCTGGTTTTAAAGACTTTTTTTACTACATCTAACTTTCAAAGTTTACTTTGTAAAGACATGTATTACAAAGTTTACTTTATAAAGACATGTATTACTGCATAATAAAATCATTCATTCACTAACATTTACTGCTCCCATCATTTTCAATTATGTGGCTATGAGACTATGCCCACTATAAGAAATCAATGAACTTTTTTACTCTCCATGTTGCATCAGTCTTGAACTTAAAATCTCAAATACATTGTACATTATCCTGTTGAAGCTGACAGAAACCCAATAATCGCTTTAGAAACAAACAAGAAAAAATGCTATTTCTTAGTTAAAAGGCCCGATGAAGAAAGAAGGCGTAACGCTTGGTTAGAATTGTCGAGAACCGATGATGACCTTGGAATATTCATCTTCCTTTTCTTCAAAAATTCCAATGAGTTCTGTAAGCATTGAGATGGTGCTCTCTCGTTTAAAAGAACCGTTTCAATCCTGCATTTACAAAAATGAGTCGTTCTATTTCAGAAGGTATAATAAAATCAAGAAGAACATCTTCAGTAACTACAGAGTCAGGTCCCTCACCCAGAGCTTTTGCTTTTCTTCCTCTTTGTTTTTGATTTAGCTGCAGGCTTTTCGTCGCCTGGGTCTGATGAGAAAACTTGTCTATAGATGGAGAGTATATACCAAATTAGATGTTTAGCGAAACTATAATCTGAGCAAAATGAATGGAGAGTGGGAAAGAGACGTACTTCTCACGCTCGGCAAGCAGTTGGACAAGATTACTGGGAAGCATTCCCAACTTGCTAACTTGATCATTGTGTCTAGGGGTTTCTGCTACATCTTCGACAGTTTCGCTTTTTTTAGATGCGCGTGGTGTTTTCTTTTCGGCCCACTGTCTACGACGTTCTTTACCTTCACGGACAACCCTACATAAATAATGCCATTTATCATGTTCTGTCCAAAAAACCAAGTAATAACCAGACGTGCATCAAAGGACACTATCCTTTCAGATATCATCTAATTGCATCGCGGGCAGGAATTCCCAACACTACACTGAATTCTGAGAATGAACGACTATCCTCGATTCAGTAATGCTCTTAGTGGAAAATACCCTATAGCAATGGGCATGACAAAGCAAGCCATCCTAGCCAACTATCATTTGTTTCATTGATTAAAAAACATGGTTCAGAGCATCTGGTGTGCCTAAAAATCTTATTCTTGTTAGTGCAGAAGATGGAAAACAGATCAGAGGGCAACCCATTAAGTAAAAGACAGAATTGCCCAGGCTCAAATCAAGGGCTCAATAATAACACAAAAACCTGATCTAATTACAACAGCAATAAACATAATTAGCAATCCAAGCCAATTTACATGCACCTTAATTAACAGCATGAAACAACCATAGAATCCTACTGCATTTGAGGTAAGAAACTCATGAAATAATTGCCAACAAGAAATTAAACCGTGAAAAGAAATCATAGTTACCATTGTTGTGAACATTGAGCCTCAGCAATTTATGCACAAAATTAAACCACCTTTGTTCTTTTTGAACTAGATTATTGAACAATGAAAAAAAGACAGACAATAACATATAAAGCCATATGAAAAGGAATTTAGAATTGTATTTGTAAATAAAAAACCCTGCAGAATCAAGGAAAATCGTTGGATTGTCTTTCCATTACTTTCCACTTCACTTCGATTTTATGAACATATTGCTGGCAAGCCAAAAAAATTGGTGCATTCCTTCTATTATGGATTTCTGAGCAAAGTTTCACTGCATAGGCTTCTCTGACAAAAAGACCTTTGGAGACTTTTAGTGGGTATCATTGTTTGGTCTCTTCTGTTGGACTGAAAAATTATTGATTGGGTTTCAAGATGTTATATCCTACAGTAGATGTAATACATTTTTACGGTTAAGGCATAACCCCCTTATGAATCAAAGAAGGCCAAGTATAGAGGCTTAAAAATTTGAGCCTCAACCTGAAGCTAGGCAAGCCTCAAGGTTTAAGGTTCAATAGTCCTTCAAAACATGGTTTAAGCTTTGACATGAGTGTGCTGTTAATATTTGCACTACAAAACCTTAGATGGTCCTTCTCTTTACCATTTCCATTGCCCTTCAAGGAAGATGGACAAACCCTGAATCACATACTCGTTAAGAATATCCTGATTAATGCGGAAAAAAAATAAAGAGGAAGGGTTATCCTGCATGCTTGATTATGAGAAACCCTAACCTGATGGATTGGCCCTTTTTGTTAGATTGGGATTTGGACTTCTGGTAGATGCTCGTATAGCAGCACGTAAGCTTGTGGTTTCTAATCTCCAAAAGTACAATGTCACATAATTCCTAAGAGAATTCAGTTATCAAGGTGGGCAAACGTAGATACGTCTGTTCACGTCAAGAAGGATCAACGGTCCCAAAACTCTTTCAACTATCTCGGATCTTAAGTCTATGCCCTCACAAATAAAAGAAGTTCAACATTTATGACTCTAGAAATTCTGAGACTATGGAACTTGGTATTTAGCAGGAATCTCAAGATTGGAAGTTTCAGGGAGGGTTAACTTTGATCAGGTAGGTAAATCATCTCTTTACTACCGATGGACAACATGTCAGGATTTGGTATTCAAAAAGTTCAGGAAAATTTTCTTGAGCCTGTTCTTCAAGAGGTCAACAACTGAGATTGCTATCCTCCTTCCCTCAGTAGTCTGGTATGGAATCATAGGTGTCAGAAGAAGACAAGCGTGTTCTACTGGTTTGGGATCCATGGTAGCAACAAACACTACTAGTGCTGATGGAACTCAGAAAAATAATTGCTTGTGTTATCCTTAGGGCAGGGTGTTGCAATATGAGTAGACTATAAGATGAGAGATCGAATCTTGTTTCCTTTCTCTGCCCATTTTATTGCAGTGTGGTACAGGATGCAGGACTATTTTATGTTTTCCCTTTGCAGGTCAAGGATCTGAACTTTCAATTGCAGGAGGGAACTCCTTCAAACTGAAGGCTAAGGAACTCTTCTATAACATGGTGAAGCAACTCTTCAGTAAATTTGGTTAGAGAGAAACATAAACATGTTGATATTCCTAATCTTGTTGCATCGTCGTCTGGAGTTTAAGATAGAAATTTTGGGGTTATCGCCTACTTCTTGAAGGTTCAAATCCTCACTCATATATCTATATGTACATACATATACATATACAATAAATATATATAGCAGAAATCCATCGACAATATCATATGCAATCGAAATAAATAATTGAAGCCATGTCTTAAGAATCTACAATGTCAGCTCAACTTCAAATAAGAGAAGTGAAAACACAAAACCACAAAAACAGCTCCAAACGCAGTGAGAAGACTAAACACAATGCAGAAGTAGATTACACGTGAAGCCATTAAATCCCATGAAGGATGACGAAAAATCCATGGAAATAAATAGAGAATCAAACTTTACAAAAACTAAATAGAAAAGTCATTGGTGAAATAATGATGAAAGCACAAGGTTGGACACCAAATACAATTCGGTAATGGGAAATACGGATTGAAAACACACCTAGCGCTACTTTCTTTTTGAACTTTTCTAATCTCTTCATCCTGCTGTATTCCCTGCAACAGATGAGTTCCTAATATAAATCCCTGCTTCCTTAGAACATAGCTGGAGGAACTACGATCGAGTTCAAACAAGCGGCAAATAGAAATATAGAAAGTTGGAAACAACGAACCTGCTCGGCGGTGAACTCTTCGGGGGCGTCGGAATCCGTATCGTTTGGGTCCGACATCTGATTACAAACTCTCCTTTTAGGGTTTCTGTGAGGTTTTTGGGTCCGGGATTTCAAGAAACTCTTGAAGGAGGAAGAGTTGTGCGCTTTTGAGCTGCTCCACATTGAATATCATGTCAAGCCGACTCCAGAATATTATGTTAATGGGCCGGGGTAGTTGGGCTTTTATGTGGTTTCGGCCCACTGGGAAAGGGAAATTAAATAACTCTCAATTCAACCCAATTCAATCATAGATATGATTAATTTGAATGGTTGTGATTGTTTATTCATATTTTTATTTTTAATATAAATTAAAATTTTAATTCGTAAAATATTTATTTATTTATTTTTCATTTATTTAATTAAGATTTATCATTCAATCGAATATATATTTTTAATATAAATTATTTATTTTTCATATATCTAGACTTACATGGGTTTCTCATTAGCTTTAGGACATCTAGTTCTAGTCTTATCCCCTTAAGGCTATTCTGGTTATTTCTCCTTTCATTTAAACCCTAAGAGTTTCTCTTATGCCGACTTGTGTATGACAAGTGCCCTACGAGTAGCTACCTCAATATGGCTATCTAAGACTATTTGGTATCTTACCTTAGAATTGAGTTGCAACCCCATAGGTCATAAATAGTCTCCCTCATTGGGAAGGGGCTACTTCTCCCTTATTGTCACGACCCGATTTTCGAGGCTTTGAAAAACCGAATCGTGACTAAAAAGATGAAATCGAAAACAAACAAAAAGAAAAGTGAAATAAAAAGATGAAAATCAAATAAAATTAAAATATTTCAAAGAGAGGATTTAAGTTTACAAAAAGGAAATAAAATACAAATATAAAAGAAATTCGCAAAAGACTCCAAAAGACCGAAAATGGACTGACGCTCCGGAACGACCCCCTCTGTGACCGCACAGCTCTCCAACGCTCCTCCACCTCGACCGACACCTGACGAAAAGGAAGGTAGAAAGGAATGAGTATAAAAATTATACTCAGTAAGCCACCTACTTGTAGGCTCTCTTTGCATCTTAGTTTAACAGAATTCCCACGGTTTCCTACTTTGGTTCTAATCTTAGTCCCTTGGGGCTTGCCCCTTGGGTTTCACCGGTTCGTCGTCCTTTCATTAAACGCCTAGAGGTTCCTTATGCCAAGTTAATATGGTCGGTATCTCTCTATGAGGCGCTACCTCTACATGGCTATCTGGGACTACGTGGTACCTAGCCTAGAGGTGTGTTGAATACCCCAACGCCCATATAGTCCCCCTATGGGGGGCGCGACCCAACCCGTTCCCATGCAGCTAATGGGCGGTACGACTTGGGGACACATTTCCCATGCGAAATGGCTAAGAGCAGTAATGACTGATCAGTGACCCTTGGTCCTCCCACGAAGCTATAGATACCGTTCTCACGCAATCTATGAACACTCCGAGGTACCTTCTTGCCGTGGTAAAATGCTAAGTTCCTAGGAGGAAATTAAATCTGGTTGGTTCGACATATCGCTCCTAACAATAATTCCCTAAGCTTATCATAGAAATGGGCCCTAGCAATTAACAGAGTGTGCATGCAATCGTCTTCTAACATCAGACTATATAATTCACGCAAACTAGGCATACCGGCTCAACGTGGCGATGACCTCCATCAAGCACCTAGAGCACGAAGTTCACGCTCAATGGGGCGAATTCGTCCATCAAGCACTCGGAACACGGAATACACAATTCCAACATAAATTAAATGCATGCATACATACAGCGAAAGCATAAAGCATACAACAGTACTCATGTAATTCACCCAATACGGTCATAACAGTTAATCTGACCAATAATTTACATGGAGAGCTAATCTGAAGCAAAACTACTAACATGCATGCAATCCAAGCGAATCCTACAAGTATTTCTTTCTAAATACTGAGTGGTGACTTACCTGGTTGACGCGTGCCCTTTTTCTAGCGTTTCTTTGCCCATGAGGTGTCCAAAAATACTGATTTCTTTAAATTAGGTCCCTATTCACGTAAAAATAGTATTAGAACTGGAATCGGGACAAAAATCGGCCAAACAGAAAGCAATCGGGACAAATTGGCCGTCCCACGCACGCTGGGAATGCGTGGTCACGCGCGCGGGAAGGTGCTAGTCGCAGGCTGCACGCGCACCCGCTTCCGCGTACTCGCGGGTCGGCCGGTCCGATCGACTCGGCTCGCGTTGCATTTCAGCCCAACTTGCAGGCGACACGTGTCGACGTCTCGCTGGAGCTGCGTTGCTCCAGCCGATGGTCGACACGTGCCGGCGCCTGTCGCCGCCCTCCGCCGCTCGCCGGGCGACTCTTTTTTTTTTCTTCTTCTTTCTTCTCTGCCCTCTGAAAATTGAAACACAATCCTCTTTTCTGATTTTCATATCTCATCCTTCTTTCGACATGAATTAAACATATACATTATATAGCGGAAGCTTATAGCATAATTGCAACACTCAATAATTTTCATAATGCTTCACATAATACGTTCATACTCATAATAATCACATTACCTAAATTCATTCATGGAAAGCTACCATCTAAGGTAAATTCACTAGCATGCATGCATTCTAAGCAATCCTTACAAGTATTGCTTCCTAAAAATCCGTACGGGGACTTACATGATTGATGCGTGCCCTTCGTTTAGCGTTTCTACATATATATATATGGTGTCCAAAAATACTGATTTCCCCAATTAGATCCTAATTCACATAAAATTATGGTTAGGATTGGAATTGGAATAATTATCGGGCAAACAAGAGTCGAACGGGATGAAAAGGAGCTTCACGCTCCTTGCACGCGCCAGAGAGGAACTCCACACGCGCGTACAGACGCGTCTAAGGGAGGAGGACGCGGGTTCTGGGTTCTGCCACGTGTCGCGGTCGGGTTAGTCAGATGCTGACGAGTGTGTGGGTTCGAATCTGAAAGCGTGCACTGGAAATCTGAATTCTCTTACGCTAATGCGTGGCAACAAGGAGTCGGGTCGGTAATCCAGGTCATGCGCAGGTTCTCGGATTGGACTCGGGTAGTGGGTTGCCGACCTTCGAATCTTGCCCGATGCGAGGTATTTCGTTGATTTTTCTCCGCCATGGACACTTGACATGTGGCCCTTCTTCTCCGACGATGCGCAACCCCCTTCCCCACCTGACACATGTCCCAGCCGCTATCTGACACGTTCTCCTTCCACCTCAGCGCTGCACTTTCCAGAATACAATTATTTTTCCATTTACTTAATTTTCATATTTCTTTCAACCTAACTCAAATTAACGCGGTTCCTTAACGAGATTTGTAGAGTTTATATTCCTTAACGAGATTTGTAGAGTTTATATTCCTTCACGAGATTTGCGCAGGCAACGTCACCAGCATCTTCTCCCATGCAATCTCCGTTGAAATCATGCAGAAAAGACCATGCACACAAGAAAAAGTAGGTATAGTTGAAGCTCGTAACATCAAAATTAATTTGATATAATTCGATATATGAGAATAGCCTCTCTGTATATATTCGGTATGACATGACCAACGATCAAAATATGTCAAAACAAGTAAAAGAAACAAAGAAACTATTTGAGGAGACAACGTCTAGAGCAAACAAACATTAAGCACTTATCTTTTCAATTCTATTTGTTGCCACAAAAAAAAAAGTAAACATGATCTCATCAGTATTTATAGTGGAGAAAGTACTCGTTAGCTTCCTAAACTTTCTCTCAAGCTAAGAACCATTACCAATCTTCTTAATTAAAGCATAAAACCTTGGTACAAGTACCAAACTTGGTCCCAATTTGGTAACTACTACCAATTCTATTGTACAAAGAAGATCCTCGTGGAGACAGTTAAATCATTATGTGAAAAAACAAAGTTTCTTTCAATATTTTTCAACGAAACTCTAAGGAACGTTCAAATTTGATGAATTTGACGCATACGTTTAGTAAAAAAAACCTAACTTAAATACTTTCATTTTCGGGTCATTTTCAAGTCATTTTCCATAGCATATTGTCACTTGAAATCTTGATAAATTGTCTTGAGGGATAGTTTTGTACTTTTTCTCTTGGTTCACGTTGTGAAGTTGTCATAATCTCCTTAAAATCTTTGCATACTTATCTTTATCTCATAAATGAGTCTCCTATAATTTTCCTATAGGATTTTAATTCTTCACAATTTCGAAGTTATTGGCCGTCAAGAAATTGGATAAGAGAGCATTCAGTCAGCAAAAGGACAATGAATTTCTAGAATTAGTGAATAATATTGGATCCGTAACCTCAGAAAAAAGATTGGCTCTAAAGGTTGGGTACAGGGGTCCTAGTCCCAAAACCGTCGGCTATTAGTAGACTGCTCGAGCTACTCCTGTGGCGAGAATAGATTGCTGCGTACTGGCTGAGGGACAGGCTGGGAATGGCTCCTACTCCATAAATTATAAGTTAATAACTTATTCTACTAACAAATTCTCGAAGTTACTTCATAAATTAGTAACTTATTCTACTAAATCAAGTTTATAAACTCATATATCTATGTGTATATATATATATATTCACGTGTCTAGACATAACTACATGACTTCAATTCTCATCCTCCTCTCCACTTTATTTTGAATACACGTTATTATAGGGAAAATGAAGTCATAAAATAACACAAGAGCCACCACTCGGGCCAGGAGGTGTTGAGGAGAGATTTTTGAGGGAACGAGTTCAGTCAGATTGGTGGAGAGATGCTTTTAGTTACAATTTTATTATTATTTATTTATTTTATTTTATTTTTACGGTTGTTACATAATAACACAGGTTCTACCACCGCGCTTGCAGCGGGGTGGTGGACACGATGTTGTTCGTATCCTATCAAGCGCGGTGCGTAGGCGGTCATTCAAGTTTCGAATCTCATCACTAGATTGTTTTTGAATCTCTTGCGCTCTTGCTTCTGCTTCAACTCTTGCTTTTCTCTCCAACTCCAATTGCTCTTCAAGCTTGCTTCTCACATCCTGCAATTTGGTCTCAAACTTGACATTAGCAAACAACCCATGCGTGTACGCCTGTCCTCCATTTTTATTCACCACCGCATTCACCATCCTTAACAAATTCTCCACTTGTTCACCCTTCTTCTTTTCATCCCTCGTCTTGTTATTGAAAACCAAGCAGCGGTTGTTGCATGCGGCTATGATATCCTTCAACGCCATCGGGCACTCCCGACCCATGTAATCTTCCAACGTCTCCTCGTTGTCTTCCAGTTCGTCCCCTCCTGTGAAGAGCACAATCACGAAGTCCACAACCTTTGTTCCAAACAAAGCTTGCAGGGTTCGGATGCTAGCCTCTTCCTCTTGTGAGAATCGGGTCCTCACGGAGAAAACCAACACTATTGCATGAAGACCCTCTTTCACCATGTCAACACATTTCGCGATCTCTCTTGCAACATATTCCGCTCCAACCGCTGCATCAAACACTCCTGACATACCAAATTGAAAAAATGTTAGGAGCATAAGCTGTCGTGGTTTTGCTTTTAATTTTCTCAAAAGGTCTCATAACAATAGATGTATTCCTTACTTATAAACCTATGACCAACCTCTTAATTAGCTATGGTGGAACTCTCTCCCAACAATTCTCAACAATTCTCCCCTCGAACAAAGTACACCATAGAGCCTCCCCTAAGGCCTATGTAGCCCTCGAACAACTTCCCCTTAATCGAGATTCGGCTGCTTTCTTTAGAGCACTCGAACAAATTACACTCTTTGTTCGACACTTACACTTCAAGATTCACACACTTCAAGATTCACAACTTCTTTGTTCGGTATTTAAGAATTCTATTGACATAAGTAAGTTAAGGGCATGACTCTGATACCATGTTAGAAATTACTGATCTTCACAATGGTATGATATTGTCCTGTTTGAGCATAAGCTCTTATGGGTTTGTTTTTGGCTTCCGCGAGAGGTTATCCTTACTCATTAACTCATGATCAACCCCTTAATTAGCTAACCTTGAACTAACTCCCAACCGTTTTAAAAAAAAACACATAACACAAAATTAAAATTTTTTAAGATTGTGTTTATGAGTTATACCTGGAGTGTCGATCACATTTATGACTGTTCCATCTTTCCTCACACATGATTGCATCTCTGAAGATTTTGTAATTCCGGAAGAACTTATCCTTGATTTGAAGGCATTTCTTCCAAGAATAGTGTTTCCAGTGGCACTTTTTCCATTGCCTGTACGACCCACCAACACCAAAGTTAATGGAGAAGCAATCCGATGAACCATATTTTGTGTGTTTTTTGGTGATTTGTTAAGCTTGTGTTGGGTAGGCTACTATCTATCTGCTCTTATACACAAAGTGCATACAAACTGGTTGATGTAAATTGGATAATAGTGTACATGTGAGGTATACTCCAAGAATAAATTCTAAAACTCCAACCAATCCAAATTAACTCGTTTTGTGGAGGCAAGGCATCCTTTGATCAAGTGGAGTGAATAAATTCCTCAAAAAGAGGTTAAAAGATACTTTGTAAGTCCTTATTTTCTAAATTCCAAAGGACTAGGTTCCCCACTTTAATTTTGTGGGAAATGACAAGGATAGATAAAGATTTAACTATTTGACACCAAATTTGAGATATTATTTGTATCTTGCTAAGGAATTAAATCATATATTTTAGTTTTTCAAATTAATTAGTTTTATACAACTTGCAATCATCCTGCATACACTTTCATCTAACCTAAAAAGCTAGAACTATCCTGACTTTATTTCCCTGGCTTACACAGCGTCACAATCCACGATGAGATTGTCTCCCAAGAAAGTTATTGAGAGTGATGACTAATTTAAGTAGGGGGAATGTCACAACCATGATATAAAGAGAGTAGGTTGTGACCCTCATGTGTAAACAAGACAAGTGGCAACTCGATAGTGACGCTCAATCGGCATGCGAGGGTTGAGACAAGATGAGTGTCATGATGCGAACGAGGAGAACGATGCATAATCTAACACATGAAAAATATGTGCATGAAAGAACAGCCGATGAATAGGCAAGACTGAGGTAACAATGTCAACATGAGTGTTAGAGATAGGCTTGTTCAAAGGCTGAGTAGGGCCTCGAGTCTTAACCTTGAAAGTTAGGCTTTTGAAGAAAATTTGGGCATGTGGAGTTAAGTCCGTTCATAAAAAATATGAAAGCTTGCCAAAGTTTGTCTCAATCGCGCACCAGGCGGACGCTCCACAACACCATATTTTCGTTCCCCAAAATCATGTCTATACCTGTCAGACCAAAAATGACTCAAAATTTATTTTAGGGAAGACATGGTATCAGCTCTCCACCACCCCTGGCCCTGTATTCTAAGCGAGCTATTATGTGGCACATGCATGTGTCACAGTGAGAGTGAGCTTTGCGAGACAAGTGTCTCAGGCGACTTTCTTTGAAATGAGTCTTTCAAGGACAGTGGCAGAGGGCACATGTGTGTCAACATTGATCCCCATCCCATGTGTCAGAGGTTGGATCCTATATCCACTATCTAGTATAGAGTCTGTAAATGATATGGCATGAACGAGAGGATCCAATGTTTTGATATAACCCAATGATATGAATGACACATGGATCCATTCTTGATGATCATGACCGAGCGAGCTATGATGATTGATGACATTCTGGGACTCGGGATGGCGTCAAGACTTGTAGACCATGTTGATTTGGAACCATGATAACATGATGAGACACACATTGAATTGAGAGACCTTAACTTTGTGATATGAACCAAGGCATCTCAATCATGCAATATTAATGTCACATTAGGAAGAATCAAGTTTCATTTATGCAACAAAGACTTCAAGATATTTGAAATGGAGTTCATTTATTCTTAGATGGTTTCAATGATGATAATTTAGAATTATTGTAACCAATCAGAATTTAAAAATAAATAAATAAATAAATGTCCGAAAACCGACGAGTTTCCTGGCGACTGCCGAAAATTCCGCATGGGTGTGGGATCACGTCCTTGATCCCCACAACTCACCCAAATCATCAGCCAAACGCCAACTTTGACCTCAGCACGCTCCCAAACCACTCGCGAATCATGACTCGAACCGAACTTCGACACATGCCTCGACTCGAGACACCTGTGCTGTCGTGGCCCGCTTAGATGCCGCCATGTGTTAAGCCGTGGCGCAAGCAGCCTTTCGGCTTGAGCGGCTTGGATGGCGCAGCCGCTTCCCAGTGAATTTTTTGGCAGCTTCCCTGTGGCTTTCCGGCGACTTTTCCCAGCATCTTTTCTGCAGCTTCCCGTCAGCTTTATGGCAGATTTTCGGTTGCTTTCCGACGGCTTTTCCAACAGTTTTTCGGTGGCTTTCTGGCGGCTTCTCGGCTGTTTTCGACTCGTCTCGCCATTTTCAGTCTGATTTCCACCATTCCGATCCTCTCGGATCTGTTTACGTCTCCGATTAAAATAATTGAGGTTGCTTTAAAGTTGTATTTCACATTGTTAGCTGTATTATTAATTAAAATGTGAACCAGAAATGAAAGGTGACCAAAGGTGATTTACTTTGTCAACCAACCCTCCCGGCATCTTCCCAATCCTTACGACCGAACTTTTACAGCCCCATCCATACTACACCTTCCAAAAACTGTCATAGAAACTCCTATGAAGAAAAGAATAAAGTTATCGAGCCATATAAAGAACGACTTTTAAGTATTTAATAAAAAAAATAAAATTCATAACATGCAATTAAAAAATTAGTTGAAATTAATATATTACTCTCGAGTTAGAAAAAAAAAAAAAAAAGTTGAGATATAAAATTATTTTCGTATTGAAAACATGATTTAGAAAAGCATTCGGCTAAATTAATGAAAAGATATTTAAATTTTGTATTTAATCTAATAAATACTTTATTACTGTGAATGATACCTCTAAACTTATCAAAAAAAAAAAATTAAAAATTAAAAATACTTTTCAACCTTCAAAACAGTTTCAAAAATACTTTTTTTTTTTTTACTTTAAAACGTGTTAAAAAATACACATAGTTTTCAAAAATTTTGTTAATGTTATTAATTTTTCAAAAAAAAAACTTCAGTTTTAACCTTCTTTTTTTTTACTTAAAAAAAATACTCTTCAGTAATTACATTTAAAAAAATATTCATAAAATTTAATGAATAATATTAAAAAATTTAATAATAATCTATGAAATATCAATAGACCGTTTCCGGCGATTTTTTTAAACTTTTATTCAGAAAAGTAAAAGAAAATTTAATGGGTATTCTTTTAAAGAGGTACTAATAGGAAGAGTATTTTTTAATTTTTTTTAAATGGAAAATTAAAAAAAAAATATTTTTGAAATAAAATACTCACTATTTTTATTTAAAATTAAATATAAAAATATTGTTTTAGGTATTTTTTTTAAATTTAAAAATATTATTAAAATTTTGAAAGTTGAATATATATATATATATATATATATTTTTTAAAATGGCCATAAGTATCCAACATTTGACCCTTCATTGGATCTCTAAACTGCAATTTGGTTGGGTTATTAATTAGCCTAAAACTATATCCCTACGCCTAGGATTTGACAAATTGAACAACAATTAAAAAGGTGCAATAACGCCATTTAATTAAGAAACAAGGAAATACCCACGATGTTCCCAAAGCTTTTTGTGCTGTTATATTGCTCAAACCATTGGTGGGTTCACAAATTGCTATCTAAAAAACTCAGCCCTCCCCATATCTTCACAGCCTTGCAACCCTCTGGACATCATGTGTTATCTCGTGGAGTGCAAGACGTGCAACAAGACCTCCTGGAAGGGCTGTGGCAATCACCTGCCTGATCTCTATAAGCGAATTGAGAAGGGAAAGCACTGCACTTGCCGCCCCTGGCCCGGCGTCGTCGTGCCCCTTGAGGATTCTGCTGACATGAAAACCGCACCGCCAACGATGGCTAACCCGAAATCATCTGTCACTGAAGGTACACCGCTACACATATCTCAACTCAACTCGTTCAATTTAGATTGTGGTAATTTATAATGACATCTTCTTCAAAGTCAAATTTGGTGACGTTGAACAAGAAAATAATAAAATATTTAATAATTTCTAAAATCAATAGAAATTTGGCGACCAAAATAAAATTATTACAAAGCATGTAATTTTAGTTTTCTTATTAAAAAAATTAGCCAATCACAAAGAAATTATTATAAACATGTTTTTGTAAATAAAAAATAACGAACAATAAAAGATAAATAAATATCGTTACGTGTTTTGTAGGTACTGAAAGTTGGGGTTCGTTTGTGCAGGTAAGACAGTTGATAAGGAAGCTTAGGGAAGCGTGGAGTGGCTAAGTTAGAGAGGTTTGAGTCATTTAAGCAATTTCATATGAATTATTGTTATATAAATAAGGACGGGTTTGTACGGGATGCAATCGCATCCTGTTTTTTATTTAGATTATTTTCCCGTTTGAAGTTTGTCATTCAAATAATGAAACGTGCTAGGGATGTTATCGCATCTCATTTCTTATTCGAGTCGTAACTTTATTCTTTTGTGTTTTTTATGGTATGAATGTATATTTTTTTGTATAGGAGTTGTTTTAGGGATATTTATTATGGTATGGAAGAAAGGCACTAAATGGGGAAGCACACCAAATATTCATGTTTTAATAGGGTCGAGTGATCTTTCCTAAATATCATCCATTCAATGTTGTTTTCTTGTCTTCATCATTTGCTACATCCCAAAGTTCCCTTATATTAATAACTATTAATGATAGGTGGGAAAAATATTTGTTTTTTTTTAGAGACTTTACATGTTAGACATCGAGTTCGTAATATCACTGATCAACATGATTTTTCATTGATCAACTACACAACAAATTAATCTCTGTAATGACTCTAAATTTTTTATTGATCAACACGATTTCTCAAGCACATATTATCATTCAGCATACACTGGTTACAAAACCGACGGTACGGTCACTTACGTGGTTGGCTTAGGCTGAAGCTACTACACCCTCTTTATGCTAGTTTAATGCTGCTCTCTAAAATTTAATTTTGACTAAAGAGTTTAACATCATAAATTAGAATTCTACTATTGTAATTGACTCACCTAGTAAACTATTAAGCCTAATTTTGCATAAAATAATTTAAACTAGCTAAAAGGCAATCATACTAATCTTAAACGCTTCCGAATAATTGAAACTGGGTGGAAAGGATTCGAGTGTATCTTACCCAAGCTTGATCAACCAAAATGTCGGCATTGAGCCATCCGAAAATGTATTCTCCGAGATGCTTCGAACTGTTCAAGTGGGATGACAACCCTCTTATAATGGAGGCCAACCCCCATTTCTCAATTCTAAGCCACTTGGGACATTTTCTTTCCTTTTTTCTTTCCCAAAATTTTGGGTTATTATATAGTATCTCTAAAAATGATTGGCCAATAGAAATGGGATTGAAATAACTAAGATGCTGTCCTTTATTCTCCAAAATGACCTCCATACCTAGATGCATGTCATTGTTAAAAAATTATTAGTATTTCACTATCTCTAATACATCTTCTCATTATGTTGTCATCTCTATTGGATGAAAGTCCCTCGACTAATTTAGGAATGATGATGAGTTTATAATCAAGAATACTATCTCCATTGACATGAGGTCTTATGGGGAAGTCCAAAACAAATCCACGAGAGCTTATGCACAAAATGGACAATATCATACCAGGGTGGAGAGTCGTTATTCCTAACTGGACAATATAACTTATTAAATCTTCTCAAACAAAAGACTCATAATCAACACATTAGTGGCTAACTCAAGCACTAAAGTAGGTGGTTATTCCCTCCCTAACTGACTTATTAGTGTATAAAAGGACCCAAAAGCAGCAAAGTTGCATACACTTCTGATAACACTCGAAACCCCCACCCATCTCCATCCACATCCACCCATTACCCACCATGCTTCTCTTTGAGCTTGAAGGTTTCGGCCCTTTTTTATATGCACTCTCCATGATGCATAGACTTCACGATATAGCCGACATTAAATCCACTCCATCAAGCTTCGCCATAATAATCCCCCAAAATTTCATTCGCTGCGCCGTAGCCCTCAAAATTGACCCCCAATTCTTCAACCAATTTTCGTGCAACCAACGTCACTATTTCACAGCTTCCCTTACAGACCTCGTCACGAACTTGGCCGACATGGACCGTGAAGGCTCTAATTTACTCACCCTCTCCTTTGTGCGATTCCAACCTCACATGGTCCTTGAATTTGAGAAACATGGTTCGAATATTTTTCAATCTTGAATTCTCCTCATTTCTTGTGTTCTTATTATTGCTAATTCTTTCTTGATATCTAGTTTTAGACGAAGTACACCATGTGTCAACATTAGAGATACCCATATCCATACCTTCGTATCGGCAGGATGTAGGCGAAATCGACTATTCTTCCTTTGTCTCTATTGAATTAGATCTCTTTAAAACCCTTGCAAGATGGTTAGATAACGCTTATGAAGGTAATTTCTTCCCTCTTTCTTATATTTCTTGAAGAATGTTAGATTTTGTTAGGGAATTCATTTGTGTTTTTGTGGTTTTTGTCATAGCTTATGTTACTATTTCGAGTTCAAAAATTTCCTTCTTTGTTGGGAGTAGTCGGTTCACTCTTGATGCACAGGTATCTTGCATTGATGATATCCATGATGCTTGATTGTTCAAACCATAGATATCAATGAGGTGTTTAATGATAATCATGTTTGACAGGAAAGAGATTGCATAATTGGCGGCGTTGCAATTGGACAAGAAATTAACTCCTCAATGACTCTCTATCCTATGCAATTCTATTGTAACTTGGTATCTGATAGGTTGTGGTTATTCAAATCCATTGGGTCCAACTGTCTAATTCTCATTGCTCCTTTGGGATTGCATGCTCACTTTTCCTCATATTATTTTCCCGATGATTTCTGATATGGGAAATTCTCGTATTCTACAAAAATTACAATATATACCATTTGATCTTTCTTTTTTCTCTTAGTAATTCTCTAATATGTTAATTGAACACATTTGGATGAAACATAATTTCTTTAGGAGTTAATCTTGATCCTTCAAGATAATTGTAACGACCAATGTTTCGTTATGTATTGACATAAGTTTTGAAAATTCTCGATAAATAATGTACTTTAATTAAATAGAGTGACACCGTAGAATTCTAACATTTAAAAATCCAAATGCATGAGTAACATAAGCACTTTATATAAGATATAACTTAGAAAGAGTATAATAAATGTTCAAATACAAAATCAAGATATAGTGGAGGTCTCTCTATAGCCACATGGCACTCTAGTATAATATTTTTTCTTGGTGAGTAGATATTGATTGTAGTTCTTGCATGGATCTTTGCCTTCGGATTAAAATTGATTTATCACTAAACTTCACATTTCCAATTAACTTCTCATCAATCTCCTTGAACTTTTCTCGATCAACGGCTATGTGGTTGTTCGCTTCGTTGTCTAGGTACCATGTTGTTCTCCACTAGGTCTTCTCCATTTTCGAGGAGGTTCGTCATAACCTTCTCTTTATTAAGCATCCATCAACAGGCTAGGCATCTTCTTAGCTAACATCAGTGTAGGCTCTTGGTCATGCATGAATGTGAGGTTTACTTCTCATTGTGGTTCTTATTCGGCACTCTATTTCATAATGTTCATATTCTTCACAAGAGTGACACTTATGTTAGGGATCGATACTAGTCGTTTGCTCTGATACCAGTTGTTGGGATCGCACAACAACGCACACGCTTCATCTAGATGAACACAAAGAATGGGATAGAGAAAAGTGCAAGGAGAACTCTGGCTAAAAAGATTTTTTCTATTGATGACTTCAGGTATGTACAACAAGAGAGTACAGAGAATAGAATAGAAAGTACATCTTCAAAGCTCTACCGGACCAGATATATATATGGTATAGTTTACTATATATAGCTTTACCAGATTTAGCCATCTACTATATATAACTATTTACCATATATAGCTTTACCGGATATAGCTTTACCATATATAGCTTTACTATATATAGCTTTATCAGATATAACCGTTGACCAAGCTATAAATAAGTATCAGGTTTCATAACCTAACAACTTAATCATGTTCTCAGCTTCTCGAGGTTAATATATTTATGAGTTTGTGAGAGATTATCACAACCTCCTTTGTTACCACGTCCTCAGCCAGCCCACGACCTCTATTTTTCATGTCGTGGCTGTCGCGTCCCTTCACACTTTAAAAAGAAGAATCAGCCACATTTTTCTTTTTTATTTCTGTGAGTCACTCCTGATGTGTGAGTAAGAGGTGTTCCTCTTCTTCCCTATCGTTGTAGCTATAAGGTCTCTCCTCATTGGCCTTTAAACGACCAACGGCCTCCTCAACCGACATGTTCTTGAGGTCACTGAATTACTTAATAGAGATAACAATTTTCATGAATCTCGTGGGGACAACTTGAAGAAAATTTTCGATGACGAAGATCTACTCCACCTTGTCATCTAACAAACGAATGTCAGTGATGATTATCCTCAACCTCATGAAAAATTCATCCACCGACTCATCACCCTTCATGTGAATTGCCTTGAAATCGCCCTTCAAAATTTGCACCTTTACTTTTTTGACATGTTCTATAACCATATGTATTGTTTATGTTGTCTCCCACATTGCCTTTGTAGAGTTCAGTGCCAATATAAGAAAAACATCCTTCGAGACTGCTTGATAGATGGCAATAAAAGTCATCCTATCCTTACACTCATTGACATCAACCAAGCTTGATGGCCCCCCACATGCTTTGTGCCCTGTAAATTTACACTCATTTTATCGACCATGTGCATAGTTACTCTTTGTGAGTAACGAGGCATTACACTACCCTTCTTTCCACTCTTTATCATTGTACATCTCTTCTTGCAACTTTTTACAATAAAGACATTTATTTTGGCATCCTAACTCTGATACCAGATGCTGGTTTTGACCCTCAATTGAAGTACACGGAACGAATAACCAAAGAAGAAAGAAATACAATAACTTTAGGAGAGAATTTTTTTGTACTCGAGAACTATTAAACACAATACTTTTTATTTTATTATTTTTGTGTATGAATAAAATGAACATTATCGCTATTTATAAGAAATAAAACATATCCTAAACTTCCTCCACAAATTAATCTCATACAAAAGCTAAATCAAGTACAAGTCTAAGTTTATTGACTCACGAAAACTTTGATCCCCTAACCCTAAACTTCCTCCACAAATTAATTTCATACAAAAGCTAAATCAAGTACAAGTCAATTTCATACAAAAGCTAAATCAAGTACAAGTCAATTTCATACAAAAGCTAAATCAAGTACAACTTTGATCCCCTAACATATAATAGAACTCGCACACTAACCTAATAACAATAACCTAATAACAATAACCTAATAACAAGGCATATAATCATGAATCATAGCCAAGGCTCTATAATATGCATAACTAAGTAACCTAACATACTTTCCCATTGTAAGGTTTATATGTATATTTATTCAGTCACACATGAGTGTTTCACATACTTACTAGTACTAATGTACTTTATCAAGTAAATATTCAATCAGTTCAACTACATATCAAGCATACATTGAACCTCGTAGGCTCTCACAATCAGACTTATTCCATAAGCATGGCTCAATAGAAACTTTACCTAACTAATCTTTTAACGCTCGTCAAATCGAAGAGCAAAACTAAACTTCAGTTTCGAAATAAAACATCAATAAGTTGGATCAAACAAACATCGAATTTTTACTTTCATGATTAATATTATAGTTATTGAATTTAAATAATATGTTCATTCGTTAATGTTATAATTTTGAGTTTTTCATAATTAAGAGTTGTGTTTAATTGTAATAATTCGTGGGCTAGTTGCACTTTGGTCATATATTAATAAGCTTATAAATAATAGGTTTTGCAACAAATTTATTAATTAACAATTTAAAACAAATACTACAACTAAAAAAACAAATTGAAATCTAACACCAATCGAAATTATTCATGTTTAATTGTAAACGGGGATTGAGATTGAGGTCAAGTTAAAATAAATGCAAACCGGAACAACCCCTTATGATCACGCAGCTCCTAAGTACTCTTCCACCTCAACCGATGGTCACCTTAAATAAAAGTGAAGAATATAGTGAGTAAAAAAATATTTAGTAAGCAACCTACTTATAGACTTTCATTGCTTCACATTCTTATCCTAATAGGTTATCACGAGTTTTTTTTTTGTTTTTTAGGCTCTATGAAGTACAGACCTAATCTCTATAGTTATCTAAGCATTTGGGAGGTCTTGAAGATTCAAGCGATTCTCTTATCTCATTTTTATCATTTTGGGTCCATGCAAGTCTAGCCCCTAATTGCCTCTCAAAATCCTAAGGTACTAGTCTATCCGATGTGTCATGATATACATCATCGTTTAACCAACTTAACTCTAATACTCTAACCTTAACTCAATGCAAATAAATGTGCTTTATAAAGGGCGGGAGCTATCTTATATTTTCATGTATACTTGATTAGGGAGATAATTCTATCATCTACCTAAAGCACGATAACCATTATCTAAACATTCATATAAGCTCAATGGAAAGATAACGCTCATCAATCACCAAGAGTACAAATCACAATGTCTCATCCTTGTTTATAGCACAGCAGAAACCATTAAAATAACATCCATCATAAAAATCTCATCCTATGGGTATTTTCGTAATTTTTCATATCCTCTAAAGTCCTAACTTGGCATAGTGTAACTACCTAAGGCAAGGCATACTCATGTGGTAGTGTGCCTAGCAATCCCTACAAGTATTACTTGAGAAGAACTGAATGCCTACTTATTTACACGATGCGTACCTTCCCAAGCTAGTCGACCAGAATCTCCAAATTTTTTGAGTTTGATAACTTGACTTTGATCTTTTAGGAACACATTAGTAGAAATTTAGAGGGCTATATGAAGAGTATAAAAATGAGGCGAAGGCTTGAAGTTGTTTACATACTAATTTTGAGTACAATCCAAAAACGGTGACTTCACAGCATGCTGAACTTCATGCTCGACTCCCTTGAACCATTCATAGATGCCATCTCCATTCTTCAAAGATTTGATCATGACACGGCCGATTTAGAAGGCTCTCCAACCATGTTCTCCATAATAATCTCCTTAGCTTCTTCCCCTCCTTCCCTTTTAGCCCTCCAAATCATGCCTCAATTCTTCTCCCATTTCTCTTGCGATCAACTTCATTATGTCAACGTCCCCATTGCCGAAGTCGCTACCATCATCTCCAATATGGAACGCGACGGTTTTTATTCATTCGTCTTCTTTCTTCTCGCTAACCAAGAACGCATCGCCTTTGCATTTAAGCGTCATAGTTAGTATATTCTTCCCATGAAAATCAATCTTTCATTCCAAGAATTATCTTCTTTTGATTCAAGATCATGAAACAATACCCTTCTCGTTCTTTAACGTTTTTAATATTTTAGGCCAACAACGTCGATGGGACACAAGGCAACTTAAATCGGAACCATTAGAACCAAAGAAAGTAGGCGAAATTGACTATTCTTCCTTTGTTTCAATTGATTTAGAGGAGTTCAGATCGAGTGTCATAACGTTATGTGCTGGTCGAGGTAATCTCTCTTCCTTAGTTCTCGTATTTCATGAAGTGACACGATTGTAAATTTCTCCATTTTTGACAGCTTTGGTAACTATTACGAATTCCGAAATCTCGTTCGATGTTCCATATATAAATCGAGAGATTATTCTTTCTAAAGAGGTATTTATTCTCGTTTTGATTGGATTCATGAAAGATTGGTCGTTTGGTAATGTTTTTTTTTTTTTTAATTTTTTTTTTTTTTTTTTGTAGAAAAGAGAATGCATAATAGGGGGTTTTGAAGAAGGGGAAAAAGTAATATCTGAAATCACTCTGTTTCCCATAAAGTTGTTGAATAGCTCGAGATTGAAAAGGTTATGGATTTTCAAGACAAATGATTCGAGTGTTATAATACTCGTTGCTCCGACAGGATTGTATGTTCAATTCTCATCCTATTGTCTACAACAATGTTAGTATCAATGTATTATTATGGAATTGTGTCTTTATCAACACATGAACATCAAATCAGTCCTTTCAAAGTAGCTATAAACGTCCATAAATATTCTAAATCGTAACCTATGTTGAACCGAAAGTACATATCTACTAATTAATCTAATTCTCCAACGTGTTTTTAATAAAATTCTTAGATTTAACTTTTTAAAAATTTGTTTATGTTCACATGCTTGATTGCTTAATGTATTTTTTTCCACTCATTCAAAAAATTTCGAGTGAAAGGAATCAGAATCAAGACGACTTTTAGATTTTTTTTTGCCTAAAAATCAATTCCGCTTAAACTAAGGTAGCCTAGGTGAGGAACTTACCATATGGGTGTGCGTTTTACATGCCTACAACCCAATAAGACTCGAGACCGGCTCGATTCAACCTTCTCTCAATTTAATCTTAAGGAAAGAGGAAAAATCTTAGATATATCCTCCCATAATTAGAAAATAATAGAAAATATATTATTAATGTCAGCCACTCCTATCCATAATAGAAAATATAATTAATCCATTATAGAAAAAATATTAACTAATTACGGATATCTAAATATATTTCATAATACAGCCATTTCAAATAAATCTCGTGTTAAGAATGAGAAATAGAAATAGAATTGGGATCGAAAGTATGATCTTCATTCAGATTTACACGTTTAAATAGGATACAAACTATCAACTAATACCTAAAAATAGAAAAATATATATCTAATTAAATCGGGTAAATAAATAAAATATACGGTTAATCAAATCTATACTAACAGCTTCCTAAATATCTAAGATATATTCTAACTAATTATCACGGCAAAATATCCTCTTAATACTCCCCCTCAAGTTGGAGAGTGTATGTCGATCACACCCAACTTGCCCTTCAAAAAGTCAAATTGTTGTCTTCCCAAAGCTTTAGTAAAAACATCTGTCAATTGCATTTTGGTCGAAACATAACACGGTTTGATGATTCCAGCTTGTAATTTTTCTCGAACTATATGACAATCTATTTTAATGTGTTTCGTACGTTCATGAAAAACTGGATTGGCTGCTATATGTAATGCTGCTTGATTATCACAATATAATAATGCTGGTTCGGACAGTGGAACATTCAAGTCTCGAAGAATGTATCTTAACCAAGTTAACTCTAAACAAGTATTTGCCATAGCTCGATACTCGGCTTCTGCTGATGATCTGGACACATTAGTCTGCTTTTTAGACTTCCAAGAAATAATTGAATTTTCGAGGAAAATGCAGAACCCAGAAATAGATCGTCTGGAAGTTCAACAACCACCCCAGTCAGAATCGCAATATGCCTGTAATCTTAAATTGTTTTCAGATGGCAGTAGAAGTCCTTGACCAGGAGTGCCTTTAATGTACCTCAGAACTCGAAGAGCTGCCTCCCAATGTGGTTTTCTTGGTTCATGCATAAATTGGCTAAGCATACGAACTGAATAAGCTATGTCAGGCCTAGTGACGGTCAAATATATTAATCTGCCAATCAACCGTCTGTATTTACTTGGATCATTCAACTTCTCTCCTTCGGTTAAAGAAAGTTTCAGATTTTGCTCCATAGGAAATTTGTCTGGACGTGCTCCTGTAAGACCTGTGTCTTGAAGGATGTCTAGAGCATACTTCCTTTGAGACATAAAAATTCCTTTTCTAGATCGAGAAAATTCAATGCCTAGAAAATATTTCAAATTTCCTAAATCTTTGATAAGAAATTTCTGGAGTAAACTAGTCTTGAGATATTGAATTTCTTCGAGATCATTGCCTGTCAACAGAATATCATCAACATAGATTAGAACTGCAGTGAAAGAAGTACCTTTACTCTTAGTAAACAAAGAGTAATCTGCTTTGGACTGAGTGTAGCCTGCATTTTGTATAGTTGTAGAAAATATGGAGAACCAATTGCGAGAAGCCTGTTTTAATCCATAAAGAGATTTATGGAGCCGACATACTGTATTCTCCCCCTGTCGGCGAAGACCTGGTGGTAAAGACATATAAACTTCCTCGTCTAGATTACCATGGAGAAAGGCATTTTGAACATCCAACTGATGGGTGAACCATTTTCGAGCAGCAGCAACAGTGAGTAAGCAACGAAGTGTAGTAAGTTTCGCTGTAGGGGAAAATGTTTCTGTGTAATCAATACCTTCAACCTGAGTGTACCCCTTTGCTACTAGTCGAGCTTTATAACGTTCAACAGAACCATCAGAGTTGTATTTAATTTTGTACACCCAACGACAACCAATAGCTTTATGACCAAGTGGTAGAGGAACGAGAGACCATGTATGATTACGTTCCAAAGCTGCAATTTCATCATTCATAGCCTGCTGCCATAACGGGTCGCCAACTGCCTCGTCATAGGTTTTAGGTTTTGTCTGGGATGTAATAAGAGCTAGAAAAGCACGTTGAGTAGGAGAAAAACGAGAGAATGAAAGGTAATGATGAAGGGGATACCTGGTGCCAGTGCCGGGACTTGAGCTAGAGGTTAAATGATTGGCTCCAAAAGACATCTCATAATCCTTATGCCAAGCTGGAGGCTGTTTAGTATGAGTAGAACGTCGAAGTGGAGCTGATGTATCAGGTGGGATAGAATTGGAATTAGTGGGCGAATCTGGAGAAGGTGGAGGAGACGACGGAGTAGTAGGTGAAGGGATAGGAGGTGAAGGAGGAGTAGGAGGTGAAGGAATAGAAGGTGGAGGATGGATGTTTGAGTAGGATGGATCATGAAGTGGTACAACAGGAGTCGAAGGAGCTAATGTTGAAGTTTGTGAAGCTGATGAAAAAGGAAAATCATCTTCACAAAATTTGACATCACGGCTGATAAAGAATGTGTGAGATTGCATGTCATACAACTTGTAACCTTTATGACCACAAGGATATCCTACGAAAACACAAGGAGTTGCCCTAGGTTCAAATTTTTGCTTAGGATGTACTATAGTTGCATAACATTTACAACCAAAAACTTTAAGATGATGAAATGTAGGTGGTCGTTTGTAGAGTGCTTCAAAGGGTGTCTTTGTTAGATAATAATGGTGATGGCGTTCTATTTATAAGATAAACAGCCGTTAAAATGCACTCTCCCCAAAAATTAAGTGGAACCTGTGACTGAAAAAGAAGAGACCTAGCTACATTTAGGATATGGCGATGCTTGCGTTCTACGACTCCATTTTGTTGTGGAGTATAGACACAAGTGCGCTGAAATTCAATACCACAAGAAGTAAAGAATGGTTGCAAAGATAGGAACTCAGTCCCATTGTCTGATCGAACTATCTTGATAGTAGTATGAAATTGAGTTTGAACGAATTTAACAAAGTTCATCAACAAATGATGTACTTCTGACTTATGTTGCATTAAAAAAACCCAAGTACATCGAGTAAAATCATCAACAATAGTGAGAAAAAAACGCAAACCAGAATGGGTAGGAATTTTATGTGGTCCCCAAACATCACAATGTATCAGATCAAAAGCAGAATGGGTTGTTATTGAACTTCTTGGGAAAGACAACCTAGTTTGTTTTGCTAACGGGCAGATACTGCAATTATGAGAATAACTCGCATTATTAAGATGCAATTGATCAGCTAGAAATTTAAAACGAGAAAAGGAAGGATGACCTAGGCGTAAATGCCACAAATCAGATGACTGAGATACTTGATGAGCTGAAGACTTGATTGGAGATGAAGAAATATGATAGAGACCTCCAAATTGTTTACCCGTGCCAATCATCTTCCCCGTAGCCAAGTCCTGCATAACACAAGAATCAGGATAGAAGGTGACATAACATTTCAAGTTATTGGTAAGTTTGCTGATCGACATTAGGTTTAAATTGATTGAAGGCACACATAAAACGTTGTTTAATTTAAGGTTAGGGCTAAGGGAAATATTGCCAGTATGTGACACACGTGCTGTCTCTTCATTAGGCAAATTTATTGTAGACATGATGGCAGCCTTTGGTTCAGTCATAACAGAAGATTTTGATACTATATGATCCGTAGCTCCACTATCGAGAATCCATGAATTAGAACTCGCAGAGTTAATAGATAATGTAGATATGGGAAACAAACCTGCAACATTGATGTGATTGTCAGAATTACCAGAAGGGTGATGATTGATTGCAGATAAGGCTTGTGCTATCTGTCGTAATTGCTCAGAAGAAAAATTTGGAATGGAATTAGGTGACTGTTCTTCTGTATTCAACTGTGAAACATCGGCCATATTTGCAGATGATCGATATCCACGGTTATTGTGTTGATTGTCTTGTCTTGTCCTTCCAGAATTATTTTTCTGTCGACACCGATCTTCTGTATGGCCCCTTCTATCACAAAACTTACAGTGAAACTTAAGAATTCGACACTCATTAATTGTATGACCACTTTTATTGCAGTGTTCACACAATTTGTCCTTGGCGAATTTTGAATATATTGTTTTCTTTTGCACTGCTGATGCAATCGAGATTTTCTTAGTAGGTTCGGAAGTTACCTGACGCTGCATCTCTTCTTGTACAAGTAATGAATAGGCTTGCCTCACATTAGGTAATGGAGACATCATCAATATGTTAGATCTCACCGTTTTATAAGACTGATTGAGCCCCATGAGCAATTGCATCAACTTGTCTTCTTCGCGTTGATCAATATGTATTTGACGTTGATTACAGGTAAATGGTGTGCGGTACGCTTCCAGTTCATCCCAGAGTGCTTTGAGCTTGGTGAAATATGTTGACAGTGCCATGGTTCCTTGTGACATCGTTGCTATCGAGTTTTGTATTTGAAAAATTGCTGGAGCATTCTTTTGTGAGAATTGATCGTGAAGATCAACCCACACTTGATGAGCTGTCTTGGCGTGAATAATGCCTTTAGCGATATCTGCTTCAACGGAATGAGTTAACCAAGATATTATCATACTGTTGCACTGATTCCAGAGTTCGAATTCGGTTGAATTTGCATCTTGGGACGGTTCCTCAATTGTGCCATCAATGAAGCCAATTTTCTTCTTGGCAATAAGAGCATGCATAACTGATTTCCTCCAGGATTGATAATTTGCTCCATTTAATTTGATTGGAACAAGTGAATATCCTGGTTGATCAGAGTGATGAATATAGTACGGATGTGTTAAATCAACATCCGAAATTTTGAAGCTAGATTTGGCTGATTCCGCCATAAAGGAAATTTTGATATTTAAGAACACCAAGATCGGTGCTCTGATACCAATGAGAAATAGAAATAGAATTGGGATCGAAAGTATGATCTTCATTCAGGTTTACACGTTTAAATAGGATACAAACTATCAACTAATACCTAAAAATAGAAAAATATATATCTAATTAAATCGGGTAAATAAATAAAATATACGGTTAATCAAATCTATACTAACAGCTTCCTAAATATCTAAGATATATTCTAACTAATTATCACGGCAAAATATCCTCTTAATATGTCGAGACTAAATTTCAAATTTTAATTATTTTAATTTAACTCACTTAAACATTAATAAATTTAAATTAATCCAATTCTTATCCATCTAATCTCCTAATACTTAAAATAATCACAAAATTTTGATTATATTAAGAGAAGATATAAGAATCTCAAAAGATTATAAATGAAAAAAAAAATTTATGGAAACAAATCTTAACTAAAAATAATTGTGGTGAAAACAGTAGAAAATATTTAATATATTTAGGAAAACAAATATATTTTTTTTTTATATCTTTAATGGAAGAAGAAAAAAAAAAGAATAATATCTTTGAGAATTTATAATTGGAGAAGAAGAAAGAAAGTTTGTTTTCAAAACAGGAGATAAATCAACGATGTACAAGGAAAATAATTTTATCTTTTTTTTTTTTTTTTAAGTTATAAAAAGGAGGGCTTGCATTGTGCAGTAACACAATGTTCTACACAAAAACTGTTTTGATATACTCAACCTAAATCCTGGAGAACCAACGTACCAAAATGTTCTACAAGTTTGCAGCAGAAGCAAAACCCTCGAGCAGTTAAAAGCTGTATGAACAGGAGGTAAAAAAAATATTTGTTATCACTTGTTAATTACCTTCTCTCAAATTGCATCAAATCCAGGTTGGGTTGGTTGGTTAGGTTCCATAAATTTTTTAGACTAATCCAATATTTGAATTGGTTGAATGGTTGACCTCAGCAACCCGAATAGATTTATAACCCAACTCTCTATTTTCAAAGAGAGTTAGGTTGTGTTGACAATTTTTTTTATTATTAAAAAAAATAGTACTAATACCGGTTATTTTCATAGAGCTCAAAAATCAAATATTTACCGGTCAAAACGCATAAATAATTTTAAATTTTCATAGTAATTTTAAAAGTACGGAGAGTTGGGTTAAGTT